TTTATAGATGGATATAGATCTGTGGATATTGATCTACCCATAAATCATTACATTAAGAAAAATGAAACACAATGCTGTGATAGAGGTTGACTAGGGTGAGCTAATTGGGTGGTTGAGGAAGTCTTCTCCAAGGTGGTGATATTGAACAAAAAACTGTGTATTTGGGAAGACTGGACCACACAAGGGCCTGGTGAATGAGCATTTTAGACAGAGGACTGAGCAAAATACAATTATCTCTTAGGTAGAAATGAACTTGGCAAGGCCGGGCGCGGTGGCTCACGCCTGTAATCCCAGCACTGTGGGAGGCCGAGACGGGCTGATCACGAGGTCAGGAGATCGAGATTATCCTGGCTAACTCGGTGAAACCCCGTCTCTACTAAAAAATACAAAACACTAGCCGGGCGAGGTGGCGGGTGCCTGTAGTCCCAGCTACTCTCCCAGCTACTCGGGAGGCTGAGGCAGGAGAATGGTGTAAACCCGGGAGGCGGAGCTTGCAGTGAGCTGAGATCCGGCCACTGCGCTCCAGCCTGGGTGACAGAGTGAGACTCCGTCTCAAAAAAAAAAAAAAAAAAGAAAGAAATGAACTTGGCAACATTGAGGAGCAGAACTAATCTCTAGCTTTCAGTTTTTCAATGTAGAAGCAGTGAGAGATATTAACTATTTAAATGGCCTCAATCATGATCTAAAATGTCTATTTATTAAAAGTCTAAGGTTAAGACAAATATAGGGTTGTTCGTTTTCTGCATCTTAAAGAAATTAGTTCTTCCCACATTTAAAGGAGAAAGAAATCCAACATACAGAGCACTCCGCATTAACATAAAAAGAAATTCTGGCAATGTATCAAGAATGATAAAAATTAAACAAAAGGAAAGCATGTAAAAGCTGTCCTCATTATTGTTGTGCATTAATTATTTTCTCCAATTATATTCGCAAAAAAGGCTTTCAAAACCAAGCAGTTTAATGATTCTAAAAGTTTAAGCTCCTTTATCTTCAAACTACAGAATCATTGCGTGTTCTGCCTCCATCTGGTCTTAACTGCTTTTTATGTTATTATTTATCATTATGTAATCTGCATTTAGTTATTTCAGTAAGAAACAATTCTTTAGGAAACAAATTACAGTTGCCAGCACAGTAAAGGGAAAACATGCTCAGTTCAATTGAACCTTTGATGTTTGCTGCCTCTTTACATGTGTGGATTTGCAAGAATAGTCTCACCTGCTTCTTGTAAGGCTCCATTTTGATCTTCCTCTAATATGGTCCTCTTTATACTACAGGCAGCTTTCTGTTTTCTAACTCTTAACTTAAGAACTTCCACATTCACCAACCTTCATGTTAGTCAGCTCTGCCTATTCTTGATACAGAGTATTTGAATTCCTCCGTGGTTATTTTAGTCTCAGGCATTAAATATTGTTTTTCTTATTCTGTAGAATATATGGTATTTATGGTTATTATTTTTAAAATTTGCTGGGCTGTAATGAGCCCATCTTTTTGTGATAAGCTCAAAATCAGTAAGAATGTCCAAAGCACTAGTAAAAGACATTGAATGACAAAAATGGAAATAGGCAAATTTAATTTACTGAAAGAGGCACACATTTCCATCATCAGTCTGTACTGACACTGTTAACCTCTGCAGTCACTTTTACTAACTTATTAGGTTGGGAGTAATTACTTTTGCACCAACCTAATAATTTTACATAGATGTTCCCATATTTTTCATTTGTACAATGTCACTTCAGCTTGCAAAAAAATAGGGCTATATAGAACCTATCCAGTATATAGGTAGGCGAGTTTCTGCGGAGTTCCATTTTCATTGATGTTTAATAGATTAAACATTCATTAATAAATGGTGGTACATTGGTTATATTTTCATTGTTCAAATAGTTATACTTCCCGTCTCATTCAATAAATATTTATTGAGAATCTACTGTATATCTGACAATGCGCAAACATTTAGGGATACAATGGTAACCAAGATAAATTTCCTTTCTTAATGACCATCAGGCTTAAAGTGGGCATATGCAAGTAAACAGGCCCTTAGAAAGTGAAATGATTTAAGATAAAATTTGAGTATGTACTTTGCACACAAAAGGGATATGTACTCTAGTTTGGGGATTAATTTAAAATAATTTTGAAGGAATAAGTCATAGATAGACAAAGAAGCAGCAGTTCTCAGACCTCACATTGTCATTTTGCATCGAGGTCCAAAAACTATATAGCTGGCTCTGTCTAGGACATATTACAAATGCAGAAACCAAGATCAGAATCTCTGTCTCCAAAGTTGAAATCAGGGGAACATCACTGGTTTGTCACATAGTGGCCCAGAACAAAGTTTATAGAAAGGAAAAGTCCTCAAGAGCCCCAAAGGAGGACTCACAAAGCAGGAAGTAGAAGTTTTAACTGGGGATTTAGACTCAAGAAAAGAGCCAGTAAGTTTGGTTACCTTCCAGCTTAGAGTACAAGTAAACCTGCCAGGGTTTCTGGACTAGGCTATGCTGACACACACCCTGCTTAAAACTTAAAAACTAACTGAGCATGTGAGTATGACCTTAATAAGTGGAGTGTCCCACAGTGCCTGTTTAAGGACATTTCTACAGCAATTGCTCATCAGCCTCTTTGAAATTGTTTTTCAAAGCTATAGCATGTGGCAGTGATGGCAGCAAAACACTAATGAACAATATATTGAACATATTGCAAATCAACACATTGAAATTCACAGCTATCTCTTTCCCACATTAGGGTTTAGGGCTTTTGAAGTATAACTCCAAAAGTAACTGAAAGCTTCTGATGTTTTTAGATCATTCTGTGGGCAGAAGTCTCAAAGTAGTGATACAGATCACCTGGAAACATGCTAGTTAAGGAGAGGAGGAACTCATCTGAAGTTAATTATAAAAGAAAAACAATTACATTTATATGCCAAGCTTATGATACGGATTTCTCCAGATATATATTGATATGGTTAGGCTTTGTGTCTCCCCCCAAATCTCATCTTGAATTGTAATTCCCATAATCCCAGTAATCTCCATAAGTCAAGAGAGAGACCAGGTGGAGGTAATTGAATCAAAGGCGTGGTTTCCCCATGCTGTTCTCATAATAGTGAGTGAGTTCTCATGTGATCTGATGGCTTTATAAGGGGCTCTTCAGCCATTTGCTTGACACTTCTCCTTACTGCCGTCTTGGGAAGGTGCCTTGTTTTCTCTTTGCCTTCTACCATGGTTGTAAGTTTTCTGAGGCCTCCCCAGCCACGCTGAACTGTGAGTTAACTGAACTTCTTTCCTTTATAAATTATCCAGACTTGGGCAGTTTTTTATAGCTGTATGAAAACGGACTAATACATACATAACATATATATTATTTTTGATCTTTTCTGTAAGTTTATTGCCATTAATAAATTTTCACTTTTTCATTTCTCTGTGTAACAGAATTTCTTTGTTTTGTCTTCTAATTTATGGATTGTTCTATGACAGAATCCAGTATGTTTAAACTTTCACACATTTTACAAAAATAAATTATGGTAATTTCCCTAAATAATGTTTCTATTCCATTGTCATAACCTTCCAGTTAACTTGCATAAAGGATTAACTTCTTAAATTTCTTTGAAAATAAAAAAGGGATTTTTTGAAAATGTTCACATTGTTTCTTACTTGCCGCCAATACAAACAAGGAAACAATTTTGGTCCTCCAATTCATTTTTTAAAATATTTTGAATTTTCTGTTTGCTCACCATTCTTACGAAATTAAGTCTTTGTCTAGAATCATTATTTTATATGGGTTTTTAAAGATTATGGTGTCTCTACATAAATCTTTGAGATACAAACAAATGAAGAATAGAAAAGAGTAATTTTGCTTTACTGCATCAGAATCCCAGGTGCCAATGAAAAGGAATAATGGGCTGAAGTATATAGACTAAGTATCTCTTTCTCTGCTGTTGAGAGATTTTTCTCCTTGAAGCAGTTTAAATTAGCTTCAGTGTCTACCTTCTACCTGGCTTACCTGCCTTCATTTAGAATTATCTTGCTACTGCCCTCATAAGATCTGACCAACGATTGTGCTTTGCCAAGGCCCTACAATCTTAGTCTGAGGTGTGTATCTCCTATAAGCACGGATGGGGTGATAACTTCAGAATACCAGTCAACTTTAACCTGTTTTCTTCCTCCAGTCCCAAATTCTCTGAGTGGAGAACATTTCAGCGAATCGTTTGTGTCTTCCACTTATTACAGAAAGGAGGTTTATCTTCACATGAGGTGATTCATGTTTCCACGTCCTCTTTAATGCACTTCAAGTATTCTCTTTCATTTGCACATTATCTTTTGACATTCCTTTAAATGTCTCACATCAAACAACCTTTTTCTTTTCTGGCATTGATTTCTATTTGCTGTTATATTGGCAATTCTTTGGTTGTCTTTTTGAGAACCTGTAGGTTGGCCAGCATTATGTGCCAGACTGGAAACCAACGGTTCTTAGCTTTTAAAATTATTGTTACTATACTTGTGAAACTTTGCAATAATATGCTACTGTTACATTGAATTGATATATCAATTTCATGGAAACCCTGCATAAAAATGCTAACTTAATATTGAATATTACTTTGTAAATTCATAAGGATTTTCACAAATTCTTAAAGATACATAACCCACATAAATTTGACTTACAATTAAAGATGTGAAGGACACCTAGTTTGAAGTAAAAACTCAAGAATAAATATATTGTTTACATAAGAAAGTATGTATTGCATTATTTTTTTATTTTGTTATAAGTGGGTCTAAATAAATGGCACGAAGAAAGCAAGTAATGTTCGCAGTTATATGATGACACTTTCATGAAGCTTTCCAGTAAAGCTAGCAATTACGTTACATAGTACTGAAGAAATATGAGTCCCTAACATATATAAAAAATTACATTTTTATTAAAGATTAATGAATGTGTAGAAAACTGATATTTATACAATTAACAAAGTTCCTCAGTGGTCTTAATTCAAAGCACATTTAATTTTTTTTTTCTTAGAAAACAAATGTTGGAACTATTGCTTGAGCCTGAGAGGTCTAAGCTGAAGTAAGCTGTGGTTGCATCATTGCTCTCCAGTCTTGGCAAGTGAGTGAGACCCTGTCTCAAAAAAAAAATAAGTTTGGGACATTATGTAGAGAATCAGAATCTTTTTGAAACTATTCCTAAAATAAATTCTGTGACTTTGCTAGAAAACCTGATGAAATATTATTATGTTCAACTTGAAGTAAACTGACATATAAGCCATTAGGGAAATACAAATCAAAACCACAATGATATATCACTTTGTACCCTCTGAAATGATTATAATTTTCAAAAGGCAGACAATAAGAAGGCTTAGTAAAGATGTAGAAAAGTTGGAAACTTCATATATTGCTGGTGGAATTGTAAAATTGTACAGTCAAATTGTACAGTCACTTTAGAAAGTAGTTTGGCATTTTCTCAAAAACATAGAGTTACCATATGATTCAGCAATTCCAAAGAAGGTAGATACAAACGACCACATATAACATGATTACATTTGAAATGTACAAAATACAAAAATCTGTAAACACAGAGAGTAGATTATTGGTTGTCAGAAGTTGAGAGGAATTTGGAGTGACTGCAAATGGGCACAAGGTTTCTATTAGTGCTAATGAAATATTATGGAATTTCATACTGGTGAAAGTTGCAGAATATCATGAGTATAGTAAGACAACTTATATACTTTAGAAGAATGTTATGTTTTTGAAAAATATGTAATTATTAGGTGACTATGGGAAAATTGCAAACGGTATAGAAGTACATAAAGTAATAAAAGAAACCCTCCTTCAGGAATCTAATGTATTCATTCCCAAGAGTTAATCGATGTTAACATTCTGGTGTATATTTATATTTCCATAATTAAATACAGAGTAGGTGTGTGTAGCTACATATGTAAACACTCAAATCTGTTAAGTTGGCAAAAACTGCAATCACTTTTGCACCAATATTATCTTTTGCACTTAATATTCTTTAAAACATTAAATAAAAATAATTTGTTCTGTGATTTTTCACATACTTCTTGGAGATTATGTGTATCTTTCTTCATATGTATACACACATACACACAAATACTACATACGTATACTGTCATAGAGATATATTCTGATGTAGATATAGATAGATCTTCATTCTTTAAAACAGTAATTTAGTAATACCTCTTACAGGTTATAATTTATATACCTACTTTTCTATGTATCCCCATTTACGTTGTTTTCAATGTTTAGTTTTATAATACGTCAACATCCTTATATATAGTTGATAGGTTTGGCTCTGTGTCACCACCCAAATCTCACCTTGAATTGTAACAATCCCCATGTGTCAAGAGTGGGACCAGGTGAAGATAATTGAATCATGGAGGCAGTAACCCATGCTGTTCTCATGATAGTTTCATGTGATCTGATGATTTTCGAAGTGTCTGGCATTTCCTCTTCTTGCACTCATTCTCTGTCCTGCCACCCTATGAAGAGGTGCCTTCCACCATAATTGTAAGTTTCCTGATGCCTCCCCAGCCATGTGAAACTATGAATCAGTTAAACCTCTTCATAAATTACTCAGTCTCAGATGTTTCTTTATAGCAGTATGAGAATGGACTAATAATATATTTTTGTTTAATTAGGAAAATATATTTAAATACTGATATCATTACCCTGAAAATAAATGTATTTGCATTGAGTGAGTTCATCCTGAAAAGTTATGCCAACTAACACAAATTTTGCTAATAGTAACAATATCAAATATTATGAAGAGCTTACTCTCATATCACGTAAATGACTCCTTGTATAATTTTTATATATTTTACTAATTAGCACTATAAATGTTTCCCTTTTATTGATCTATAATTATTTACAAATTTAAAGGGTAAATGTGAGTGCTTGTTATCTGCAAATAATGTATAATGATCAAGTCATGGTAATTGGGATGTCCATCACTGTCAGGGCTTAGTTTTGTTTTGGTATCATTTCAAGTATTCTCTTCTAGTTATTTTGAAATATACATAATATTGTTCCTAAGTATAGTCACACTAGTATGCTATCAAAAATTAGAACTTGTTTCTTCTTTCTAACTCTCTCTCTCTACCCATAATCAACCCCTTTTCCTCTCCTTCTTCCCCCTACCTTCCAAGTCTCTGGCATCTTTCTATTTCTATGTCAATGAGATGAAGTCTTTTAGCTTCCACGTATGAGTGAGAACATACGGTATTTTTCTTTCTGTGCCTGACTTATTTCACGTAATGACCTCCAGTTCCATCCAAGTTGCTGAAATGACATGATTTCATTCCCTATTTATGATCAAATGGTATTCTGTTGGGCATATATATATATATATATATATATATATATATCACTTTTTAAATCTATTTTTTCATTGTGGGCACTTAGGTTTATTCCACATTGTGGCTGTTGTGAATAGTGGTGCGATAAACATGCCAATGAAAGTATCCAATTGATATGCTGATTTTTTTCCTTTCAATAGACACTCCATAGTGGGGTTGCTGGGTTATACAGTCACTCCATTTTAAGATTTATGAGAAATCTAAATAGTATTTTCCATGTGGTTGTAATAATTTACATTCTCACCAACAGTGTATGAGTTCCTTTTTTTCCTGCATTTTCACCAGAATGAGATTTTTGTCCTTTAATAATAGCCATTCCAACTGGGATGACATAATAACTCATTGTGGTTTTGATTTGCATTTCCTTAATTATTAGTGATGTTGAATATTTTTTCATATATGTGTTGGCCATATAGTCTTTTGATAAATGTCTATTTATGTCTTTTGCCCATTTTTGAATGGCAGGGTTTTTTTTTTTTAAATGTTGAGATGTTTGAGTTTCTTGTATATTCTAGATACTAGTCCTGGATGAGTAATTAGTCCATTGAGTAATTTGCAAATTCTTTCTTTCATTTAAGAGGTTGTCTCTTTACCCTGTTTATTGTTTCTTTTGCTGTGTAGAAGCTTTTTAGTTTAATATAATCTCGTTCGTCTGTTTTTGTCACTTGTGCTTTTGAGGTTTTAGACATAAAATCCTTTCCTCGACCAATGTTCTAAAGAGTTTTTCCTATGTTTTCTTCTAGTAGTTTTATAGTTTCATATATTACATTAAGTCTTTAATCCATCTGGAGTTGACTTTTGTATATGGTGAGAGATAGAGGTTCGTTTTAATCTTATGTATATAGTTACTCTGTGGCAATTGCACCACAGTGCCTCACAAAGAGTAAAAGGGACTCCACCCTTTGCTCATGAGCCTTTGAACAGAGGCCATGCTGCCCCTGGAGGCATAGTCACCACTCACACAGTTCCAGACAGAGAGCTCTCTGGCTCACCTAGCCCAGCTTCCCTTGGCAGCAGTTGCTGTGCCTGCAGGTATGTGTATTAGGGGAAAACAGGTCTGGCTCTCTATGCATGTGCCAGAGCACAGAAGCCACTCTGCTGATGGGACGGGATCTCACTCTCCCCTTGTGGGGCCGAGCATAGAGTTTGTGCTCATGCTGGGGGCAGAGTCACTTCTCACAGTCCCAGGCAGGGAGCTATTGGCTTTTGGAAAGCACATGCTTTGGTTTTCTTTGTCCTACTGGCTGTTATTTTGTGTACTGGACAGTCCATTTTCTGGAAAATATTATTCTCTGTTGCTAGAGTACTGGGTACTCCACAGCCTCTTTGAGTCCAGCCAGCACCTTGCTGCTGTAGCCATCCAGGTGGACACTGGGTGCTCATGGGATATAGAGAGGTGGGAACTGTGGTTCCTAGGGCAGAAAGAAGTCCTGTGATGAGTGTGCTCCCCCAGGTGCCCAGCTTCAGCCACTTAGATATTGGAGGGTTGAGGAACCCAGTACAAGTTCCCTGTCTGGAGCAGTTCCCTCACAGGGCCTACAAATCATCAGTAATGCTAGTGTCAGGGTTTCTGTGGCTAGAGGAATTCTCTCATAGTTTGGATTGCAGAAGTCCATAGTGGAAATGTGGACAACTGAAGTTATCTTGTTCTTTCCCTGCGAGACTGAGACCTTCTAAGCTCCTGGCCAATCTTGACCAAGCTATATACTCAGTTTCCTCTCCTGTGTTTGACGTGGTTTTTTTTTTGTGACTTCTCTGTTGGACTTAGTGTTCTTCCCTAGATTTTCTATTTAAAGTTTGTCTATTTGTAATTTTTTCTTTTTTTTTCTGGAGAGAGCAGGTGTTCAGTGTCTCCTCTAAGCCATCTTGAACCCGGAATCTTATTTAATTAAAGAAAATAAAATCTCGTTTTCCTTGCATTCAGTCTGAAATGAGAACAGAATTCTCTCAGATCATGGTTCTGCAGGCTGTGTAGGAAGCATGGCATTGTCATCTGCTTGGCTTCTGGTGAGGGCTTTTGTGCTGCATCAAAACAAGGCAGAGAAGGCCAAAGAGGAAGTGGGTACATAAAAGAGGATTGAAACTCAACATGAAAGCAGAATACCAAATTCACTAAGGTTTCTTTTGTTTGTTTTTATTTTAGATTGTTTTGCTTTGGTTTTAGTTTAGAGAAAAATATTTTGATTGTTTGAAAAAACTTATTTAACAAAATGATTTTTAATCCAAAAAATACAACAATCATCTTTAATATAAAAAAGGGAAATTATCCCAAAACTAGAAATAATCATTATTTAAATGCTCATATGTTTTCCAGTACATTTACATGTACAGACACATTCACAATTATATGTGCAAATATGTCTCATTTTTTAAAAACAGGTTACATTGCATTTTTGTTTAACATCATGTTTTTAAAACATGTTTCTAAATTGTATTTTCAAAAAGAAAAATTAAAGTTACTCTTTGAAGAAATAGAACATTGCAGGTCTGGGTCAGAAAATATACAAAAAGAACCTGGCATATTTTGCCAAATCAGAAAGCAAGCAAGCAATAAAAGATTACTGGGTTAGTTCCAAAAGGAAACAAGAATCCATGTGGGGGGTCTGCCAGTGTCCATATTTAGAGAATATGAGCTTCCAAAAGGTTAACAACTGCAGTAGACTAAAAAACACTGAATTTATGAAAAATCCATGAGTTAATAGTGTTACTAGAAAACAGCTTTAATCTTTAG